AAACCAGTGACCAAGGCACTTTCCAGTCATTTTTGCCTTAGCAAGTCATTTTCGCTCTCAATCAAAGGAGCACTCCCCATATCAAAATTGTTATCAGTTCCACAATGTTTTCCAAAAAATCAGTTCCACAATGTTTTTTTTTGTTTGTTTTTTTTTGTTTGTTTGTTTTTTGTTTGTTTGTTTTTTTGTTTTTTTTTTTTTTTTTGTTGTTTGTTTTTTTTTTTGTTTTTTTTTTTTTATTTGTTTGTTTGTTTGTTTTTTTTTTTTGTTTGTTTGTTTTTTTTTGTTTGTTTTTTTTTTTTGTTTTTGTTTGTTTGTTTGTTTTTTGTTTGTTTTTGTTTGTTTTTGTTTGTTTGTTTGTTTTTTGTTTGTTTGTTTTTTGTTTGTTTGTTTTTTGTTTGTTTGTTTTTTGTTTGTTTGTTTTTTGTTTGTTTGTTTTTTGTTTGTTTGTTTTTTGTTTGTTTGTTTTTTGTTTGTTTGTTTTTTGTTTTTTTTGGGTTTTTTTTGTGTTTTTTGTTTGTTTTTTGTTTGTTTTTTTTTTTGTGTTTTTTTGGTGAGTGATATTCAGTGGAAAGTTTTAGGTTATTGTCAATCAGGTGGAATATGCAAAAAAAGGTAACATACTGCCTTTTTTTATTTCGTATGTAAATTCTATAGTGTGTTCGACTTTGTTTACTTTATTCACAAAATTCATTAAGTTAGTATCAATACTTATTTTTATTGGTGTTGGAAGCACAATCTTTCTTTTATTAAGACCTTTTGATCTAGGCTGTTAATTCCCTCTCATCTTATTTTCGTCTGGCTAAGAACTTTCCTTACCCTGTGCGTGTGCATGCACTCACATATTTCCCTCACCACACATATTGGGTACATCAAAAACCAGTGACAATAAGTAGTTCACTGGTCCTTTTCTTTTGGATTTCTATATAAAATAGAATTTTAGCATATTTTAAAATATATTTAAACATATTTTAACGTATTTTAACAGGATAACTTTGTCTTAATTTATTTTTTAGCACTCAGTTGCCAGATATTACTGACAATTTTTCATGGGTTGGGTAAATTGGTTAATAAATGTAATTTTAGATAAATGAGCTGTTACATAAGTTCAGGCAGTAATAATTAAATTGTTCATTAAATATTTCTCTATAGATATACACATCTTTTAGTTAAGCATAGATCATACTCTACCCACTCTCACCATATTTTTTTAAATTTTTTTTTTTATTCTTCTTGTCTCTGTTTAAAGATATAATTTCATACACATGCTGTTATGCAAAAACAGATGTGCTATTAACAAAGCCATCATCAGATGATGAGCCAAAGGTCAGATCTGGTTTCAGACCTTGAAGCATCATTATCATTAAACTAAAATGCTCTAGAAGTGTCTTCTGACACCCCCAGATGCCATTTGCTTTCTCTCGGTATAGGAGTGCAAGATGAAAATACACCTTCATAGTCTTGTATTTATAATTTTTCAGCCAATACTCTTGGGCCCAGAAATTAAACATTAGTTTAAATCTCACATTACTGAAATAACTGATCAAAGAACAATGTTATTTCTCCTTATCTTGTGAGAGGATGCTGAGTAGTTAACAGCTGAAAAGCAAACGAACGTTGAACATTGGATAATCTTCGTTTTTCTTTCCTTCCTGCTAGTTCATTCTGGGAAGTATTTTAACAGACGACAAAAACCATGACACAGAAATCCAAAGCGTCCTGGGTAAGATGTTAAACTACATCTGCGTCCTGGGTAAGATGTTAGATTACGTCCAGCTGCAAGGCCTCTGATCAGGAGGTTTTGAGGAGCTTGGAACCACGTCTTAATTGCTGGTGTTCCCAGGTCCACCCTAACCTGGTGTGGTAGCACTTGTTAGGGTCCCAGCTATGGGCAAGTAGTTAACTATTACTTGCAATACCTTTATGAAAAAAATTATTACCAGCAATACAATTTTGAAGGAAATATATTACCAGAAACAGATATTTGACAAAACAAAATATTACCAGCAATGAAAATTTTTGTTGACATTAAATAAACCCACTGAGGTTGATATGCCGTTAAACAAAATAAACCAAACCAAACAGAAATCCAAAGGCATATTGGAATAGCAAATGATGCTGTCCAAAAATTAAGTGTTAAGACTTAAGGAAAACTTCATCATAAACAAAGAGATTGCAGAACTGCTATGTAATATCAATCATTCTATATGTCAATAAGTTCTGGTTAATTTCCTTCACAAATGAAGAGGAGACTTGAAGCAACATAAACAAGATTCTACAGATTGACGCTGATAGTATCATGGCCAGAGCATGTAAGCAGCAAGGGGGTTTTAAGGAAAATCGCAACAAAGAGGACATTAATATTAAGAATCAGAAAGAGACAACTGAAATTTCTGGAGTACATGAGGAGGAAAGAGGTCTTGGAGTACTTAACATTCACAGGACACATTATTGAAAGCAAAAGCTGCAAAATAAAATAGCAAGTAACAAGCTTGTGTAATGGATGGCAGAACAAGGATTGAGAGCAATAATAGGGAGATAAACATTACTTAGAGCTGTGAGGTATAAGAAGTTGTGGAGAGTCATGATCAACCATGTCCTGAAGGGAAATGACACATAAAAGAATCAGTGCATACTAACAACAGTATTCTGTGTAATGTGGTATTTTCCTACCATTATAACCCCAGTCTGGGATATTTTTTTTAGTATGCTTCTGTACTCTTTTTCTAACATGATAATGTTACTTTCTGCCATTTATAGGATATTATGGAAGCATATTCTATTATTTTGTGATATGATAATGATTGTATAGTATTACAGTATCATGTTCATTCACATAGTTAATTGGGCTAACAAACCTTAACATGACTCCTTATGACCTTTCTCATCTGAACTCTATAACACTATATATAAATCTTGGAATATGTAATGTCCTCCTTAGCATAATACTAAACAGTTTTTAACTTGATATTTGAAATATTTTATATATGCAAGATGTTTTAAATAACTAAGTTTTGGTATTAGACTGGCAGATGTTAATGAAAATTTTAATTTAATTTTATAGTTTTTCTTCCTTTAATGCCTTTTAATGAACTTTAACATCAGATGTATTTCTTTTGTTGGAGAAAGAACTAGTTTAATACATACTAATCTTATACTTTTATTGTCCTATTAATAAAATGATGAAACTACCAAGTAATCCTACCTTCAACCAAAAAGAAATAAAAGCTGTTTGTTCTGAAAACTAGCTTGTGTTTCCAGGTCAAGTTAACTTAAAAAAAAAAAAAAATTGCATTTACCTCCAGATATTTATTGTATAGCAAGCTGAGTTATCCCCCTTGCATTTTCCCTCTTCAGCTATTTAAATTTTCAGTCTTGACTATTTGACTAATATAAATATTAATGAATACTTTTTAAATTAGCATATTATTATTTTTATTTTATTTTTTTTCAGAATTCATGTTTGTCTGGATACTGATTATATACAAGAGCATTTATTTTGCATACTCACTGATGCAAAATGATTGTTCTGTTGCTTTATTTATTTATTGCCTTAAAATACCTAGGTTTCTATCTTTGATGCAGGTGTCATATATATATATATATATATATCCTTGACTTTCATATGGTGGTGAGGTCATATCCCAAGTTACTAGATAAACATTTCTTACTTGATTACTCACTCAAAGGTATACACACACACACTATATATATATAAGTTATTTATTTATGTTAAACTAGTACACGGTCATGATAGTGAGATACCCAGAAAGGCTAAGATATTGCTATGCTGGTAAACTGATGTATAAGGCTTGTTTCATCAAATTACAGTAGACACCTGATAGGTTTAGTCTGGCATATGACCCCCCCAAAAAAAAACACTTAGTGATTGTCTTTACATTTTCAGCTGGAAAATCAAAACTGTTCTAAATTATCCAATCTGAAATGACTTGCATTGTCCATATTTTTTTCTTATTTTAAACTCTTTATACTGACAAATGGTCTGTAAGACAAATTGGCTCACTATTGTACTAAATCCATAAGTTATAACTAAAAACGAAATCCTTTACTTTGTAAAATGGTTGCTATATTTACTTTGGTTCAAGATTGATCATGGGACACACTTTTCAACCATATATTCTTTGTTATCAAGAATTTATGGTTTGAAAATCAGTGCAACCCAAACATATATAAAAACAACATTTATAAATATCAAACGAAAGAGCATACACTTTTAGAGGTTAGTTCATATAGTCACAATGGTTAATTCATTTAAAGAGTTCCAAAAACAGTATACAATTGCTAATGTTTGTTTGTCATTGAACTTTGAAGTACAATCTCTTGTCCAAAAAACAAGGGAGGAAATATTTTTCACACTTTTTTGAGATTTCTGAATGGTATGCTTTTGGTTCCTACCAGTCTTAAGAATTCATGGATCTGGGGGAAGTTGTGTTTTGTAGTGGTTGTAGCACAGAGCATATGTTTGCCAATCAAGTGCTAGTTTTCTATGTTTTTATGAACACAGTGAAACAACAATGGAATCTCCTCTCCAGGGTACAGGCTTGGGTAGTGTTTTTATAAGAGATTGATAGTTGTCCAGACAGCATGTTTGTTCTCTCTATAGCACTGATGTTATCTAAGAGATTGACAAGATCTGATACTGCTTGGCATCAGCAATATTTGTAAGATTGGATACATCCGACTGCCTTTGGAACTTCATTCCAAGGCTCTATCCTCATGGTTTACTTTTGAAGCTTTTCCTATGATTGCCCTGATTTTGTAGTTTGTTCTATAAAGGCATCAGAGCAATCCACAACTGTCCCCTTTAATATAGTGGGGAAGTGCTGTCTTGGAATTGGAATTTCCAGGGACAGGCTTGTTTTATTTATTCTGTGTTTCATCTTCAAGCGAGACATTTATAATTGATCCTATCTAAATCAACCAATCTTCAATAGTAGAGCAATTCTTTCACTTTCTACTTTGTCAGCATCATCTCTTAAATGTCAGCCATTATGCATTGTCTATCAGTTTCTTTATTCTTTCATCAGAATTTCTTTCTTGCCCAGTTTGAATATCTTAAATATTACATTTGTTTATAAGTCTTTTACTGTTGACCGTTTTCTCCAAAATTGCTGCTGCTGCTTAGATTTGGTGGTGGGGATTTTATTTAATTTGGTAATTTGAACTATAACATTATTAACAGTATTTGTGATGGACTCTTAGGATAAGAAAACTTTATTTATTTATTATGCAGTGTTCCTGGTGGTGAGCTGTTTGATTACCTTTCCGAGAAAGACAGATTATGTGAGGCAGAAGCATCAGCATTCATTCGACAGATTCTGGATGGTCTGATCCACCTTCATGAAAAACATATTGCACATCTGGATCTCAAAGTAAGAATTATTTTACATTTCTTCTCTTTTTATCTACTGTCAAGGGGAGTAATGTTAAATTGTATGCATTTCCTCGGGTAGGGCTGTGTGTGTGTAACTAAGAATAGCATATTTAACTTGCAAGTTAGGCTAAAATGCAGAGTTTGGTTTCTGTTGTTTTTTTCTTTCCTTTTTTTCCCTATGCATAATAAACTTCATCCTATGCATTAAAAATAAGAACTTTACAATATTTGAAAATGCTAATAATTATAATTTAATCAGTAAATTTAAGTGTAAACTATGAATTATTTTGGGACCTGAGACCACCCATAATTCTAGCAGAAATTCTTTTGATGTTTTTTTTTTCTTTTTTAGTTCTAATGAAAATTTAAATGACTATTAACACTTTTACTGCACAACCAGCTAGATAACAAAGTTGTAACAATGCAGCCATGAAAGTGTTAAATGTATTTATCTAGTTTGTTATAAGAGTTTATGCTAAAAATAAAGTTGAAAAAAAAAATCTCCAATCATATCAGATGCAAAGTTTTATTTTTTCTGATGTTCACTGACTTCTTTGTACCTAACAGACCGGTCAGCTTGCTGCTCTGTTAGCATGTGCATGGCTTGATGTCCCACCAGCTGGTCAGTTGAATTAAGGCTCTGTTACTATGGTGATGGCTTGATGCCCTGCCAGCCAGCTCTGTTACCATGGATATAGCAGCTTGTTTCTGAATCACACTTGTCTACCCACTTACAAGAATAACCATCTAAGTATGCATCTGATCCAGATGCCCAGTCATGGGCTCTACAATGATTCTTAAAATCAGAAAGTTCTATTACACATCTGACATCCAAATTTATTTTGGATATTTGTATCCCATGTGTTTTTTATATTATGTAGCACCCCCACCACCACAAAGTACCTGGTGAAACCAGACTTTTCTTATATTGATTGTGGTACATCCAAATCTAGTCAACCTGTTGACAGTAACTTTTATATCAAGTCATCATGTTGAATAGATAAATATCTTTTCTTAAAGAGAAAAAGATATATAAATTTCTATATATATATCAGAACAATATTAGAAGAAATTTTTGTGTGACACATTTCATCCTTTTAGACTCCATCAGACTAAAGTGATTTTTATGTTGATGTGACTACATGTGCTCATGAAAGAGAGAGGATGTTGAATTTTAAACTTAATTTTTTTTTATGTAATCAGGTATATCATCTAAAAAAAAAAATCTTAATTTAAAAGTTTAAACTTTCTGCATCTCCACCTCCTTTGTGTATGTGTTTAGTCACATCACATAACCATCACTTTAATCCAATAAGTCTTGAAGGATGAAATGTACCACACAAAAAATTGTCCTAACATATGTTATTATAAATCTATTGTACTTGCCCAGTGTGATTTGAATTCTAAACAAACTTATATTGTTTTTAATAAGATTTAATTCTTTCTTGAAGAAAAATATGTGACTTGTATTTTTTCTTTTCTCCTTTAAAATAAAATAATTTTTCTTTGTTTTTTTGTTTTTTTTTGTGTGTGTGTTTTTTTCTTTTTATTTGTTTTTGTTTTGTGGGGTTGTTTTTTAGTGGGGTTGGTTTGTTTTTTTTTTTTTTTTTTTTTGTGGGATGGTATTTTTGTTTGGGGCTTGATTTTTCTTTTTATTTTGGGTTGTTTTTTTTTTTTTTTTTTGTGGGGTTTTTGTTTTTGAATTTTTTTTCTTTAGATGATAGTAGTAAAAATATTCAGTTATTCATATGTTCTTGAATTGAAGAAAGCATAAATAAATAATTTTATAAGGCCGGATGTGAAATATATATATATATATATATATATATATATATATATATATATATATATATATTATTTTATACTACTGTGTCACCCAAAAGTAGTGTTTTGATGATTTTATATATAGGAACACATCTAGGATGAATATTGTACTTTGGTATCTACATGACATTTGAAAAGATTTTAATTTCTTTTCCTAGCTGACCTACCTGTTTCATGTTTTGTGTACACTTAAAATGAAACTTGATAGACCCACTGCAATTTAAAAAATGAAAAAAAAAATTCTAACTCTACCCCTCTACCATTTTTAATTCAAATGAAAAATAACTTTCTAGATTTTTTTAACATTAGTTCATTTATAAATCGAGATTTGACTGACTAATCTCATCTGAATTTTGTTATTTTTTTATCATTACTCTATGTATTTTGTTCTTTGCTAGAGAGCTGACCGCCATTGTTGATTCTATTCAGGCACATAATTTATCACAGTTCAGAATGATTGTCAAGAGATCTGAGGTTTTATTCTTAATGCTAGACAAACGTGATTTGTGATTAATTCAGTCAAAAGGAGAAAAATATTTTTCTAAAATAAAAAAATAAAATAAAAAGAACTAAGTTTTTTTTATTTATAAAAGCTTTGGTATATTAATGAAATTTTTTTTTTTTTTTTAAATGAGTATCTGGATGACTAACAAAATCCAAGATAGTATAAGTAATCTGTAATATGATGGGACTACAAATTCTTTTTCCTTAGTCACCAGGATTTCTTTTTTTTTTTTTTTTTTTTTGGTTAACAATAGCTTCAGAATATTAGATCCTGGATGTAATCAGTGGATTTTTTTTTTAATATTACCCTGTATGGAATATACATCCTTGATTGATAGCACTTGACAATGCTTTTAAGTAAAATATTTTTGTAAAATCCTTTGGCAGAATTCTTACTTTCTTGGAAACTTCAGATATTTCAGACTAATGTCTCTCCTGTTCTAAACACATCTGTACTTGGTCAGATTTTAGGAAGTAAGGTTGGGCAAAGAACTTTTTCATTACCCCCACTCATACCCACCACAACACACAAAAAAAAAACAATCCTGTTTTGTAATTACCATTTGTACTATGCCCTTTATTTTTATAACTAGTACTGGAAATATTATAATTTTAACAATTCTTTTTTTGTTATAGCAAAGACGGCACATTGTAGGATAATGTTTGTAATTACAATTTCCTAACTTGCAAAATGGCAATTTTAATTTTAATCAGGTCCCCAGTTTCAACATTTTGTTTTATTAAATATAAATGGACAGGAAAAAAAAGACATCCCTGTCCAAAAGAGATAACTGCATATTGGTTAACTTCTAATTGGTCATTTCTGAGGGTTTTTTTCATAAGAAAATAACAAGAATAAGCAGGGAAGAATCCTTGTCTACATTCTTGTCAGCTATAGTGATTGCAGCTATAGCAGTGATAGTAATTTAATTAGTCCTCCTACTTTGACTTGAATGAAATGTCTTAACTTTATATTACGTCTTACTTAAATTTTACTGAAGATTTCAATCTCTTCACTTTGCTTATTTTATTGTTTCTGTAAAACATTTTGTAGAGGATTTTAAAAAAATATCAATTAGCCTGTTTTTTTTGTTCGTTTTTTTTTTTTTTTTTTTTCTCCTATGTGAATTTATTTAGAGAAAGCCTTTTTATTTATTTATTCATTTCTATTTTTTTTTTACAAAGGCAAGATTTTTTGGAGGGTGGGGAGTTTTTGTAATCTCTATTCTGATGATTGTCCACTTCTCATTTTTTCTTTTGAATTCTAAGAATTATCTGTTAAAATGGATCTCCACTAATTGCTTGGACCTGAGATGAATTCCAAACTGTTGAATATCTTTGAAGAATTTCATTGCAAGACTGATTCAGCTAATGTAATTTTTTGAAATCTCAAAGGACTTCATCCAACAATGTGTCATTAAAAAAACTATTTAATTCCTTCTAAATGGAGTCTGTTTACCTACAGGAGATTAAAGTGACTACATTTAAAATTGTAACTTGAGAAAATGCAAAATACTCTGTTGATTTTGAAATTTCATAATTTTTTAACAAATTACAACTCTGAATGGTAACTACATTTCTTAATTAAATTTTCTTTGTCATACAATCAAAGAATTCATTAAAATATTTCATTTTAGAAATACATTAAATTATGAATTTCTTTTTTTTAAATGGCTTTGCAAAAGATATTTGCATTCCTCAGATGAATATGCCATGTTTTTTTTATAGCAAACTAGAATTTTTTGCAACATGCTGACATGTGTTAAAATCTTCACAGTATTTAGTATTATTGAAATTATTATTTACAAACTCTAAATTTCATTCAATTTCACAAACCAATCAATGAAATTTGAATAAGTTGATTTGTTTGGAAAAAAATACTTTGACAAAAACCTTACTCTGTGGTTTTTACGCGCCCTAGTAAAACCAACTGTACCCCACCTTACATGTTTACTCTTCTCCCCAAAATTTGGTTTCAATCAGTCAATGTATGGCTATTTTAGAGGGTGTGATGGAAAGAAGTCACAGAATCTTATATATAGATTATAGACAGAAAATTAAAAAAAAAAAAACTCTTGAGATTACAAATATGCTAAAGATTAAACATGTATATCAACAGTGTACTCAGATGTCATATTAATTTACAGTATGTCTACATTGGTTATTAATACAGACCTTTACTGTCACATGCATATAATCATGCAGATAATTAATTCTATTTTCCAAGCCTCTTGCACTTGTTGATGCAGTACAGCAAATGTTAGGTGAGCTGAATAAGTCGGGCATAATCTCATTATGTTCCTTTGAGGCAGGTCTGGCAATTGTGTTGGTCAGGAAAATTGTCAAACATCTTGCAGATCATTTTGAGTAGCATGGGCAACATGTGAACAGGCATTACTGTGCTGAAACAATTCATTGATTTCCTATTGCAGGAATAGTGTCAAAATGGATTGAATATGATAATGTATAGCCTAAGGAGACACAACATATGGAGAAGAATGTTTTGGATATATGTGGCAATACTCAACATTCTATCAAATACAAAATCTATGCAAGAATTGTAAATTACAGCACCTGACTCTGTTATGCCAGGATTTGGACCTGTCATGCAGATGTCACTACCTGGATAGTTGTGCTTGCAAATTTCCATCAATTTCAGGAATATACAAT